GGGGCCTCGGGGCGAGGCTCCTCACTGGCCGGGCCCGCACCCTGGGCCCCCCCAGCCGCCGCCATCCGCCCCACGCCGCCGCCACCAGCACGTTTACAACCGTCTCTTAGGAACAAGAAGGGCTTCGGCCATTAGCTGAGAACGCCTCCCGCCAGGCTTCAACCAGGCCGCTGATTGGCCAGCGCCCGCGCGCCGACCAGCCGACGAGCACGGGCTGGGATTTAAAGGGCCAGCAGCGCTAGAGCAGGGGCGGGTTCTCTGCAGTGTATCCAGCCCTCCTCACACAGGCACTGACCTATGCCTGTTGGGGTAATCCTGCCTGGGGGTCGCTGCTATCTGTGGTCTTTAACCTGGGTAGTCGCTGCAGCTGGGCCTAGAAAGCAGGTGGTGGTGTGGGGCATAGAAGTGAGGCAGCCTTGGGGGTGATCGCAGGTCTCTTCCCTCGGCTATCCCACGAGTCCGTGCTGCTTCTGTTCCAGCAACATTTGGCCTCTCCCTTGATGAGGCAGCTGTACCTGTTCTGGCCTTGCTTCTGTCATTTTTTCTTTCATGAGGTACCACAGTTGTTCTTGGGATGTGTAACACAGCACTCCTGAAGCTTCAAAGAGAGCTGAGAGAAGAAGCTGACCACGGGAGAGAAGAGCTACAGTCTTTATATACTTACAGCTTTTAGCATGGTAACTCAGTAAGAACCTTTCAAGTATTTCCAAAGCAAATTTAGCAAGAGCATCTCCTTTTCCCTTTCCTGAAGAGAGAAATGTTATTTATAGTGTCTAACGTTGTGTTAGTTCATTATTACTTATATGTACAGTGACAGTGTGCAGTTTTGCAATACTGCCATGCACTCACAGCACTGTGGAGCAATGATGGAGAGTGGAACTCCTGTCCAGAGGCAGCAGGACAAGCCTGTACCTTATCTCTTTTCTCTGCAGGTGCTCTGTATGCCACGCAAAACCAAGATAGCATGAGGAAACAGGTTTATTTTTCCATACTGTCTTTGAGGGGCTATTGTAGCAGCCAGATCTTATGATGCTGCTTTGAGATCCTGTGTGCCTGTCTGGGTTGTGAGTTAGCAGACCGCCTGTGGTGTTCTTAATTGCGAAAAGGAACTTCAAATGAATTTTCTCTTTTTTCATGACCCAAAATTTTGTTCAATCTTTCCTAAGGGCAGGCACTCAGAGGTATGAGAAATATGTCCTCTAACACATTTTTTTTTAATGTCAGGAGAAATTATTTTGTTGGCAAAGGACATCTTATGTACAGCTTCTGTTTGCCTAGGGCATTGCAGGCTTGTGCAATGAATTGCCACTCCTTTTCACTGTTGAGATGCATATTAATTACATAAACAGCAATGACTTAACAAATATCATGTTGTTGTTCTATTCAGATGGATAATGGTGTCAGGTTCATGGTCACTTTACTAGTGGCCACCTCAGTGTTTGCTTGCAGGAGAGATCACCACAGAAAATACTGGTCTTTGTGACGTGTCTGAGGCCCAACTCCAGTAACAAAATTAAACCAAAAGTCACCAACAGGCAAAACTTTCTCACTGTGCAAGCACAGGTCCACTGATGAGACTAGAGAAGCTCCCATTCCTCTATTAGCCTTGGGCGGTTGACAGACATGTCCATCTCCAGAAGGGCCAGGAATTTCTTTCCCTTTGGCAAGGGCTGCCCCAGCCCCTTGGTGCCTACAAACATGCTGTTTCCTAAATACTGTGCAGCTCTAACCTGAAGGTTGGGTGGAAGTGTGTGGAGCCCCAGGAAGGGAAGCATTTTATTTCTGGGACCCTAGATCAACCCAGGCACTGTGTAAAATGCATTAAGAGGAAAGCTCTTCTGTTTCTATTATTATACCCCAGAAAAGGCTGGTACAAGAAAGGCCCTGGTGCCCTCACCTCAACTGAAGAGGAAGCAAAAGGGATGGAGAGGACTTCAGTCCATATTTGGTTCTCTTTTGCTCTGTGCACACACTGATGATCCCACTGGTCATGTCTGCAGAAGCAAGCATGAATCCTTCTATGATTGCAAGGTAGCAATTAAATTAAATCTGATGTTTGCTGCACCCCCTTATCTGTTAGGTTATCTGTTGTCCCCTCTTGGGTTTTGAAGCAGAAGAGCTGCAGGATAAAAACCCTTCTTGTTATCCTCAAGGTGGGACTGGATCGGGTTTTGAAGGGCGATAGGGGATGCAGTGCTGCCGTAGTGGAAGAAGGCCCTGCTTGGGGAGGAGGCAGCGAGGGAAGCAGAGGGAGACCTGGTGCCTCACCAGCTGCTGGAGGCGCACTTGAAAAAAAATAGTCATAAACGGTGAAGTTTTGCCATTTAAATGGAAGTGCCAGCTGGGGTGGGGTTATGCTGTGGTTATAAAGAAGAGAGCAGCTTAATAGTGCAGGTCCCAGCGAGCGGGTCAGCATCCCCAGCGGGGACGAGGGACGACAGCCAGCTCAAGGAGGGCCCACCGGGGTGCACGACGCTCCTGCCCCCGAAACCCAAGGCTTCCCCTCTCCGTGGGGGCCGGCCACCCGAGGCCAGGGGCCGACAGCCCCGGGG